TGAAAAGTATATTATGCAAATCGATTCAATTAAAATTACATTTTACACATATTCAACAGATTGTGCTCCCAAGATATAGCAAACATAAATGCACATTAAGTCACCCACTTGTAATGCATGTAAGATGAGGAGGATGATAAAATGATAACACGTGTCATTTCTGATTACCCAAAGAACTATTGTATTTATCAAGGAGATTGAAATCTCCACCTCTCCCTTTCTCACCAGTCAAGCTGAAATCTCAATCGCACACCCCTCCCCCAGCCAAGAGTGAATCACCACTTACTGCTGCTGCTAAAGGTTACTGTATTTCACACATAGTGTGCATGTGTGTGTCTAATCATTAAGTGATCAATCAGGCTCCAGTGAGAATTTGCCCTAATTGGGAACAAACTTGATTGAAAGTCTTCTCCAGCTTTTCATTCTCTGCTCTGCTGTACTGTGTCCATTAACGCTCTGAGAGACACTGGCTGTGTTGAACTCACTGGTGCTTGACACGCACTGATAAGCCGCATGAAGCCCTGATTTAATTATACATGCATGAAACTGAATGAACACATCCAGTCTGAGTGGAGTGTTGTGTGGAGTGAAAGATGTCAGGGAGCTGACACTGACAGACATGGATGTTGAATTTGATGAATGGATGAAAAAAGAAGGTGGCAGCAGTTACCTGGGTCTGACTTCGAGAAGGTGTCCATGTCTAACAGGTTTCTGCAACACAATAAAAGAGAGAGAGACAGGTAGTTAGAGCTAGTAGTTTTGTCTCTGAGGCTGAGGCGTATATGAATTTGAATATAATATCATTTGATATACAGTTTCAGTCACTTTAAAGTTATTGGAATAAAGCTGGATTGTCACCAGTCAGCAGTTTTTGTACACTAGCTTTAGTGTGATTGTGTTATCAACTGACTTCAATATTAGAGCTTGTCAGGACTGCAGGACTTATGCCATACAAAGTCACTGTATGGATGTGTTCACATTAGAAAAGTACAGTATCTACTCCAAACAACACATTTTTCAGTTAATTCTATCTACAAAGGACATAGATGAGCTTTCTGCTGTTGGAAAACAATATTACAAACTGCAAATAATGGTGAAGCAGCTCTTTTGATCAGTGTGACGTCTGACAGTGTACAGCATTACTCACTAAAGTGTCTTTAAAGTTACACTCAGGCCCAGAGATACGAAGTAAACAAACACTTTCAGGAGGAGCATGAGGATCGAAGATATGAATAAGGACACTGGCATGAACACTTGACTTGTGAAATGTGATTACTTCTTTCTCATATAAGAAAAAAAGAGCAGATTTATGAGGCGTATTCTAACTTTGAATGTCAGTAGTGCTTTCAGGTACAGATTTGAAATGGATGAATCCAGTACTGAGGAGGACACTTGGAGGAGTCATTTGCTCCAACAGTGGGAATTTACCGGGACATTGCAAATGTATGCGAGCAAAGGCCAAAGAGGGGAAGGTAATGATTTCATCAGCCGATCTTTAGAAGATGATGTTCCCAAAATGATCAATAAAAGACGCATTTGCCTGGCAACACCTTGGTATGGCTGCAGATCGAAAAGTGTTTGTCAGTGTATCCCACCGGGCACACAGAGGTGAGAAAGTCAATCCGACTCGTTCATAGTTTGTAATTAGGAATAAGTGAAGCACAGCACATGAGACCTTTGGCTCTGGTGCTTCATGTTGCTTCATGTTGGCACATTTCACCTCATAGAATCACACATGCATAACTATCCCTGGGGTGACCAGATGTCACAGGACACATGACACAGTTCCAATTCATTATCTTGGTATCAGTAAAAAAACTGTCCACCTATATATACAGTACATATAACTGAATCACAGTGAGCAGTTATAACCTCCACTTTTTCCCCTCTGGATTTCATCATTTTTACAGCGTGTTGTGATAACGACAAATGGCTCTATTTACCAATTCCTGAGATTGAAGTGCTGACTTTCAGCTTTGATTTGAGCAGTTTCAAATTACATATTGCTCCTCCGAGCAAAATATACATTTGCAATTAGGCAATGCCAACAACAAACAGAGACCCTGAAAGCCCCAAATCAGAAACTTTGTCAGGGAATTATTGCACCACTAATGATAGATCTATTACACCATCCTGATGAGAGTAAGTTTACTTTACATTTATTGTTATCACAGGGCACGTTTGTAGTTGTAAATAACGAAATCACTGCAGAGCAATACAAACAGGAACCAAGTGGCCCTGTAACAAGGAGGTAACAAGGAACATGCACAATGCAATCAATAGAAGCTCAGCAGCATCTCAGAACAGAGTCTATAGCTAAAGTCTCCACGTCTCTTTGGTTAATAGATGTGCTCTGAGCATGATACACTCTGAAGAGTCCCTGTATAGAAATAATTGGCAACATCTATTTTCATCATGGTGTTCTTGTTGGGGAAAGATCATGTGAACGTCAGAAAAACCAGCAAGAACCAGCCTCCAAGTTGGACACTTCATAGAGCGTCATCCTCTTCCACCACATGATCATCTGTAGAGGCCTTTACACACCAGGAGTGTGACAAAAGAGTGACACAAAGACGTGAAAAACTCATCTGCAAATATTTTGCATTAAAATATTCATAGGTACTGACCTCCTCCTCACTTGACGAGGATGTACAGAAAGAGATGGAGAGTTTCACAAGATACAGAAGCTCTACCACTGCCCTTGTTTCAGACTTGTTTTAGGATGTCAGTGGAACAGTCCTGCTGGGGATTGTAGTGTGTGTCTGCCATCTGTCTGGATAAAATTGGTCCATAGCCTAAAATCACTATGATGTATGTAAGCTGAGAAAAAAATATCCACATAATATTCACCGTCTGTTTGTCAGTACTCGTGACAAAAACAAGGATTCAAGATAATTTATGTAAATTAAACTTGTGGGGGGGAAGTATCATATGATGAAAGTATCATCATAACAAAGTGACTTCCAGCTGATGAAGCTGACTCTTATATAGACTGCTTGAAATGAGAGGGGGGGAAACAACAGAGTATTAGGAGCATGCTGAAGAAAAAAGAAATTCTGAGATTTCGAGGATAAAGTCAAAACTTTACAAGAGGAAGGTCATCATTTTATGAGATTGAAGTCTAACTTCATTCTACACACGGCATCTATTGCACCTTTGTCCATTTCTCACTGTGACTCTCTCCAAAGGTCTTTTGGGGGGGGGGGGGATTTTTCCCCACTCTTGCTGAGTAAGAAGATGTTGCATCTCGTTAAGCCCCATGAGACAAATCGTGATTTGTGAATAAGGGCTATACACAACTTGGTTGGTCGGTCGGTCAATCGGTTGGTTGGTTGTAGAGGGGGAACATCAGAAGATCAGTCTGTTCCATATTCATGAGGAGGGTGGAACATCTTGTTAAGTTATATAAGGTCGAGCAAATAACGTAATACTTTGGTAGTGGGCAACTGTATATCATTGGTTACATCAGAGTAGTTGGAGTGTCATAGTTTCATAGTTATAGTTTCAAACTGAGATTGGTTTTCTGGTTATGTTAAAACTTTATCTGCATAATGTTACAACTTTGTTCCTGTCAAATTGGTTTTTTACTTCAACATAATAATTTAAAAAAAACAGGTTTTCTTCCTCCCATATCTTGCCCTGTGTTTTCTCTTCTCCTAGTGTTTCTTGTTCATCTCCTTCCCTGTGTGTAACTACCTGGAGCTGGGTGGGGCCTACTGTTAACTACCTGCACAGCTTAGCTTCATCTCCTCATCAACTCCACCATTGAGATTTTTGTGCCTTGCTATCTTTTTGCTGCATACTTACCCGGGCTCCTTTTTGTAACAGAACCAGCTGCGCAGCGTCAACATGTTTGTTCTCCCTCAGCCTTCCAGCTCCTTCTGATCTCTTCCCCCCAATCGAGCAATAAACCTTTTGTTTTACTACCACCGTTCTGCTGTGTTTTTGTTCTGTACTTTAGCTCCGCTAGAGGCAAATTATAACAAATACTCATCAACGAACAGAACAATATAGCAAAAAGCTGGTATATGACTTTTAAAATTAAAGCATCTTGCAGCACTTCGAGTGGTAAAACATTACCCACAGAGTCAGCCCTGTGATTGATTGGTGTAATATGGGCACCATTTGAATGTGTTGTCTTTATTTGTGGCCAAGGATTTTTTCCAGTCAACTCAGCTGCAAACACAAATGTGAAACTGTCGCAAGGGGAATGAATGACACACGACATCAAATCACAGTCAGAATCAGGACCCATATTCCCAATTAACGTCCTGACAAATCAATGATGACTGATAGTGATTTTTTTTTTTCAAACAGTGAAGAGCTGAGGATCAGTAAGTGACATATTGAAAGGTTCCCCTCTCGAGGGCTTGTAGCTGTCTGGGTGATGGAGGAGGAGGGAGTCAGAGGGACTGCAGGGAGATGCACGGTGTGTATCTTCACATGTTCATGCTGCTCTGACCATGTCCATACAGTATGCTCATGTTCATGCATGGGCTTCGGTATGTTAGGCCTCCCTTGCCAATAGAGTGTGACAGTTTGTATTATACAAAATGTACTGCGCGCATATAAACAAATACTTTTGTTGGTAGAAATCCATATGACTGTTGACTGAAATAGCCCAGCACAGTACTACGTCATGTGGGTCATTCCATTTGTCTTGGAAGGGTTAACTTTTCCAAAAAATCAATTTTATATTGTTGTTTGTTCAATATTTCTGTTTTTAGCAGTCTCTAATGAACAACATTTCCCATAAGCCCAACACTGTCACTTGCTTGTCAGACCGGCCAGATGAGTGAGGAGCTTTGAGAATAGACCTGTCCATCGCCATAGTCACACAAAAGCACAATCTCGCTCTTCTATTTTAAACATGATCCCAGGAGAACACAGGGGATTAATCACAATGAGGAAACCTGTAATGATGACATATAGTGAGTTAAATGGAGACATCTCATGGGAGTGTTTTTTATTGTAACAAATTCATCAGTTTAGGTTAACTTTGTTATATCTTGAAAGTTTGAATTTTAATATCTGATAAAAACCTGAAGAACATGATTAAGGTTTTCAGAAAATACAGATTTCTGTCCACCGAGGCCCAACAGTCCCCTTCTAAACTGCTGTCTATTTATAAATATAACATGCCTGATTTTTTTTCAATTAAACACGACAAATTATTATCTGAGAAATCAACAAAATATTGCAAACAAAATGCCCTAAGTAGCAACATTAAAGAAAGATAAATTATATTCTTGCATCCACCCCCTGTTCCTGATCCACAACATTTAATGGATTCTTTCCAGACCCACACCACATCCTTCCATCAGGATTTGTGATAATCCATACAGAAGTTTTTGTGTAATCCTGCTAAATAACGTACAGACAGACAGACAAAAGGATAACCTCCTCAGCAGTGGGGGTCGGGAAACTGCGGCTCTGAAGCCGGATGCATCTCTTCAGCCACTCTGCAGTGGCTCTATGTGTCTTTGACAAAAAATGACAATAACAGTATTTCTTTAACTTCTTAGTGTGCAGTGGATCATTTTTCAAAGGGAACACGTCTTATCTTGGCGCTTGGGGTGACACTGACACTGTGCTGTGTCACCACCACTGTTCCCTTCAGGTGGCTAATTGAGTTTCTGACTCAACCCCTCATTAAGCTAACCATGAAAGATCCCCAAAGGTCTTGGAGGATAATAGAAAGTTTGATTCTG